GTCATGATTCGGACATGTATCTACCTAATTTAATTAACACATAATTATAACAAACATTATAAAAGTATTATAAAATAAGTAAAACCCTACTACTCTGGTGTTGTTTATAATCAGTACTAAACTATAAATTTCTTCATATTGATTGATTGATTGATTTACCGTTATTTAACCAGGCAAGTCCCATTGAGATCTCAGATCACTTTTTCAAGGGCGGCCTGGGCCTGAAGGCAACCTTTTGTACATGTTTTTAGGGAGGCTTAATATGGGGGGATGGGGCTGTAGAAAATGGACAAAGTTTTCATTTTAGACACTTGGTGTCAGTGTTAACTCAGTTTTCTGAGGGTCCCTGGTCCTCCTAGACTTCTATTGACTTCCATTCATTTCCTGTTAATTTTATAGTCTAACCCTGACAAAACCCACAGGTACCTACCTGACCCTAAAACTAACCTAAACTCAATTCACACCTTGGTCCTACATTGAACCCCCATCCCACCAATGGCATTTAAACTAAATGGGGACTCAGCTTAGGTCACCATATGTATCAGTTTTCCCCACATGTAGGTGTTTTGTCTTGATTTGGTCCTCATATGTCACAAAAAACCTTCCCCACTCACACAGGTTACCTTTTATGGCAACACCTACTGAAATTTGTCCCAAACTAACAGGAACCACACCTGTTGTCACTGGTTCAGTTTATACAGAACTGTTCTCGCAGTTCTGGTGTGATGAAGTCTTTTTGAGGCCTTCCTCACAGTTCATTCTATGGCAGCACAACCACACACTGTTCCTGAGGTTCTGGATCAGGTCTAGATGAGGACACTGGTGAGGAGCAGTGAGACCAGGAGGCTGACATGAAACATTTTGCAGAGAAGAAAGAGTCTGCAGTAAAACTGAGACAGAATCCAGACCAGGAGACCAACAGGTCTGGGTCCTTTTTATTGCACTGTTGAGACACCAGAAACAGACCAGTTGTTGGTAAACAAACAAAAGAGTTTCGTTTCAAACAGCCACAGATGATTTATACATCTTTTTACGTTGTCTTTTAAAGCCACGTCTGCTTTTTGTTCTTCGTGACAGCTGAGCTTCAGTCCGACCCAGCAGCACCCCCACACACACCCAAAGCACCCCTGCTGCTCAGGGTGGGGAGGTGACTGCGGCGATGTCGAATACGGTCAGGATGACACTGGTCATCGTTCTGGTCTACTCCGTCTGCTGGGCCCCATTCTTCAGCATGCAGATGTGGGCCGCCTGGGACCCTGAACCCCCTCAAGAAGGTGAACCCGTGTTTCATGTCTCATTTATACAAACATATTCAGACCGAACTGCTGTTTGTCAGAATTAATATGTTTAAGTGGATCATTAATCGGATTCTGTATCATAGACTTTACCCAGGTGAGGCCACTCCTAGTCTGTATGGTTTACCCAAAATTCACAAACAGGATGTACSDGTAAGACCCATTGTTAGCATGATCAACTCTGTCACTTACAGTGTTTCTAAATATCTGACGTCTATACTTGGTCCTTTAGTTGGCAGCTCAGAACATCACATACAGAATGCTATGGACTTTGTGGACAAGGTGAGGGATGTCATCATGGAGGCGGATGAAACTATGGTTTCTTTTGATGTTACATCGCTCTTCACGTGCGTTCCTGTTGATAAGGCAGTGGATGTGGTCTGTGCAAGATTRAAATCAGACACCACTCTCAGCAGCAGAACCACACTTTCCACAGAACAAGTGTGCCAACTCCTCAAACTGTGCCTGGAGTCAACCTACTTCACGTACGGGGGGCAATATTATAGGCAGAAACATGGGTGTGCCATGGGATCCCCGGGTTCTCCTATCGTTGCAAACCTGTACATGGAGGAGGTGGAAAAGAGAGCCTTGATGTCCTTTTCAGGGGTGCCACCAAGCCATTGGTTCAGATATGTTGACGACACCTGGGTTAAAATTAAAGCCCAGGAAGTCCAACATTTCACTGATCACATCAACTCTGTGGATGAATATATTAAGTTCACACGAGAGGATGTAAAAAATGGCAGGTTGGCGTTCCTGGATTGCGATGTCTCGGTTTCGGATGGAGGACGTTTGGAAACTGGCGTATATCATAAGCCCACCCACACAGACCAATATTTGCGTTTTGACTCCCACCACCCACTGGAACACAAGTTAGGAGTGATCAGGACTCTGTACCACAGAGCAGACAGTGTCCCTACGAACCCAGGAGTCAGGGAGAAAGAGAAATCACACACACGACAGGCCCTGGAGCAGTGTGGTTATCCTGACTGGGCTTTCCTGAAAGCAGACAGGAAACACAGACAGGATTCCATGCAACATTCAGGTGAAAACGAAGACCCCAAACCCAGACCCAAACCAGTGGTTATTCCATATGTTGTGGGTGTTTCGGAGAAACTGAGACGTTTATTTTCTAAACATGATGTCCCAGTGACTTTCAAACCCCAAAACACATTACGGCAAAGGCTGGTTCACCCCAAAGATCCGGTGCCCCGGCACAAACAGAGCAATGTTGTATATGCTGTGAAGTGCCAGGAGGACTGCGACCAGTTATACATCGGGGAAACAAAGCAGCCACTGTTCAAAAGAATGTCCCAACACAGACGAGCTACATCTAATGGCCAGAACTCTGCAGTTTTCACTCATTTACAGGCCAGCAGTCACTCTTTCAGAGATGAGGATGTTCTCATTCTTGATAGAGAGGAACGTTGGTTTGAGAGAGGAGTAAAAGAAGCCATTTTTGTGAAGAAAGACAGTCCATCATTAAACAGAGGTGGAGGTCTCCGTTTTCAGTTGTCCCCCTCCTACAGTGCGGCTATTGCCAGTATCACTCCACCCCCTGTTAACAATAGGTGTTAATTAGGTGTCAACGATAGCCATGTGATGTGAGTATCAGTCACATGGAAGCAGGGCTTAAAAGCCTGAATTTTGCCTGAAACTCTCAGACTGAAGAAGTCTCTTGGAGGAGAAACGAAACGTTTCATTAGAGAAGAACCCGTCCAGAAGACCTATACAATTTTTTTTCTTTTTGATTTTTACCTGGATTACTGGGATGCATCTGGGTATTACAAGGCATTCATTTTCGCACACACCTTTCATATCACAAACATCATGATCAGAAACAAGAAGTCCATTTACTGAGATTTGTGAATTGTTATTAAATGTTTTATTGTTACTTTCACCTGTCACTGACTTAATCGTTTACCATAATATTTTTGGATTCTTACTGGCTGAAATAATTTGATTTTTAAAAYATTGTTGTTTGGCTTTGCGTAATTCAGCAACACATTTATTTCGGTAACTGTTTAAATGAGACCGATTTTCAAAAGTTTTTGATGTACTATAAGATTTCATTGAAGAAGCTTTCAACTTTAGGAGATGTGTTATAGAGGCATTCAACCATGGAATTTTATTTTTCCAGACTGGAACTTTACAAGTTGAAATTTATTTTTCCTGTATTGTCTCCAATTATCATAAAAATTTGACAAAATGCGATTTGGGTTTGACAGAGAAATACCCTCATTCCAGTTAGTATTCTCAATCTCAGCATGAAACATGGGTAACTTTGATTTTGGAATCCTTTTAATGAAATTATGCACATGACCTGTAGGTTTCTTAAGGTTTTTTTTCTAATGACATAAATAAGTGAATGATCCGAGATTGAAGTATTTATAACTCAACCACTTACATCCACCATTTGGCCCATATGGAGCTCCACACTTTTTGGCAGACAAACTCCAATGTGCATAATGTCTGTACTATCTCCGTCAAGGTGTGATGATTGGAGGTTTTGGTGTGCACGTTCTGCTTGGTTCCTGCTCCTAATTGCACCACCTGCGTGCAATCTCCCTGATGACCTCCTGGGCTTTAAAAGTGTCTCCAGACGGACGAGTCCCAGTTGATGCATAACACCATTTTTAGTAGTGCTTAGGCCAACTATAGTTATTGAAAGTTTAAAGATTATTGTTACTTACCTGAATGTTTTTGCTCTTCAAGGAAACCTTCGTCGTTGCACCGTCTGGAGTTTTTGGTCTGCCCAGGATCATCATTAAAAGGAACCAAGGTAGATTTTATGGTCTTGCCACTCTGCCTGAAGAAACCACTTTATCTCACAAAAGAAACCTCACCTCAAAGCCGACTCATTCTTCAGAGATCTGTAAGAAGGAATTTTCATTATCTAAAGATATTTATCATTCATGATCCAATCCTTATTGAAGAAGACTCACCTGGACTCTTCCCCTTTTTTCAGATCTGGACTTGTACATTTTTCTCAGCACCTGTAAATAAAATCACTTACCTTTTTTATTCGCCTCCTGTGTTGGGTTGGTCAGTTCCACTCATTTGCCTGACTTTCTGAGTTCATGTCACAAGGAAATTTTGGTCTTTTCATTATCTTTACAAATAATTTGTCTGGAAGAGTCATATAAATGGAAGTACTTTCTGACTGCCTTGGCCAGCTGCTCCTCAAATCTGTTCATGTTGCATTCATGCACAACCGTCGGCTTCTGAGAGTGTTGAAGCAAAAGGCAGCCATTGCTGTCTGAGCGCTTTTCCTCATAAGCAAACACACCCACAAACTTCTGATTAATCACACAATACTTTGAGTTTGAGAACAAGTTCAGCCTGGGCCTTGTGTCGAGAGTAGACAGACTACTCTGAGAACAAAATGACAGTCTACCGACAATGATCTTCATTCAATGATTTTTCTTCAGTGAGAGGAAATTTAGCATCTTTAATTGTGTATGCAGGGCCCTTTAAAGTTAGAGTGGGAATAAGAAGTGGGTTACAGATGTTTTAACTCCAGCATTAAAAGTTTCAAAGCAGTTCATTTTAAGATCTTTACATCTAATGTTTGCATTAGTTATTTACACTGAAGATTTTATTGTTTGTAAGAACAGTATACCTCTCGACAGGCAGATTATAACTGAACAAAACTGATGCACAAGCTGTTACTGTAGTTGAATTAGTAGGGTTTTATTGATATTTTAGATCACATTTAGTTTCCATCAAATGGTTATATTGACTGAGCACTGACACGATGTTCAGTTTTGCATCTGTTTCACATATAAATGTGTATTCACAAGCAAACAAACGTAGCACAAGGTCAAACATCAGGAGCACCACAGAAGTGCAGTAAGAGCTCAAAGTGCATGTAAACAAATGGGATTTTGCCTGATTGAAAAAGACAAACACAGCCCTATCAGAGAATTCTTTTTTACAGATATTTTATTTTATTTTTTATTCTTACTTTGTTGTTAAATGTTCAAATATTCATTTCCCTAAAACATTTCTTTTCAATTAGTTATTTGTTGTCTAGAAAACAGTGATTGTGTGTGGGAGAGTAGGCAGAACTTCAGCTTCACATCTCTGAAACAGACTGTGGCTTTAAAAAAAATTCTCATTGGCAACGCCTGAAAACTGGATTTTGCCCTTGTCTTCTGAACAGCTGAAAAATGCAAAGACGGTTAGTTTGATGATGCAATATTCTATTTAGCTTACATATTCTTCAACAAATGAAAAAAAACCCCTCATAAAATTAAATTCTTTGCGGTGTAGTAAAGACTAATAATGCTAGTTCATATGTGCAATATACCTGAAATGAACAGGACAAGTAGTCAAAAATAACACCCATATTAATTTAATTGCAAAATTATCCATAAATGTGAAGAGTTTAGTTTAGTTTTGTTTGTCTCTGTGTCCCCCTGTGATGAATTTGCAGTAGGATGTCCCCTGCCTCTCGCACAGTGACTGCTGTAGATACAGTATAAGCACCAGCCTGGAAAGGACAAAAAAAAAATAGAAAATGGATGAATCATTGTTCAGACACGGGCTGGTATATATCAGTGAAATGTACAACTCAAAGTTTTGCATTTAGCAAATGATTTATTCAACCTGTTCGATAACATAATGAGTGTGTCTCCCAGAACCCTGCTTTGCATTTTCAAATAATAATTTAAAACTGCACCTCTAAGCCAACAAAGGTCATTTAAACTGCTAATGAAATCACAAGTCACAGTCATTTTTAGCTCTGACTCATTGAGCTGAAATGAAAAGATGTTAAATAAAATGAAGTTATTCC